AGTTCTTCGTTGGCCCGGATATCGAGACGGATAAGGGCCCTTGGTCACACTCGTCGGACTACTTTGCCGACGTGGCCGAGCACGCGCTTCGAGTATGCGTCAATAACGCGGCGCCCGACGTCCTGACCGGTGCGTCCTTGGCGCTCCCGGTCATCTTCACCGACTTGATGAAGCGCTTCGGCGGCAGCAACAGCAATTCTAGCGACGGTCCTGCAGCCCCTTTCTGTCTCACAAACAGAGACCTTGGCCCTCACAATCTTCTTGTTGATGAAGAATTTCACATCGTTGGGGTTATCGATTTGGACGGCATCATGGCTGCCCCGTACGAGGTTGCGGCTCAGTTTCCCGTGTTGGCGGGACTGGATCCAGAGCCGCCTGGCCATGTCGAAACCATGCCGGCGGCCCTTGAACGCATCAAGAGGACGGAACCCTTGATCAGGGAGTACAACGACATGGTCAAGGAAATCGAGGAATGCGCCGACTCACCAGAGCGCAAAATCTGGAACATGATGCTCTCGAATGGTGCGCGAGTTGTTCAGGGCCTGAGCCAATACAAATCGCATCAGAAGTTTGTCAATGACAGATGGTTGGATGCATATGGTCGGCTTCTTGCTGAGTGTTTCAATTCCACTGCTCGCAGCTCTTTCGCAACTAAGAACAGGGGCTGAGGAGTGAGCCAGATGTGCTGTTAGATGAATAATGACTACAAAGTTTCTACGGGGCAAGTGTAGTCGAATGAGATGCGGCGGGATGGAGTAGTAGACGTATGCCGACGGTGCGGGAGCTAGTACGAAGTACGCACATAGAAACAAGCCAAAGTGAAAAGCAGAAGGGACCGGGCATGTCCGAGACCCCGACTTTTGCGGCGCATCTACACCCCACGTACACGCTCGCTCACATTAAACGATAACTGGGCCAACGCTGAGCAGGCTGGCTTGCGCATGCATCACATTGGCTCACCTTGATAGTGTTGGCTCTAGTCCGTGATACCATCATGCAACTAAATCACTCACGAGCCCGCCAGCAGCCGGGAGGACCAGACATCTGCCTCAGCATCCTGCATGAACCAAGAATAGAACAAAGTCCTCTTGTTGTATCATGCCATCTATGCTCTCAGCCTGTCAACGGCGGAACCTTCTGCGTGCCCCTGTCCAGCACAAATGATTATGTGAGACAAGTCGCGGTTAATTTAATCCAAGTATAGATACGAGAAAGCACAAGCTACCTGCCGCTAATCTTCACATGGTCTTCCGAGACTGGAAAGAGCTGAACCTCGAGGGGGTATTTATTCCTTACCATTCCCTCTCCTTGGCGACCGGGCCTTCTTCTTTCTACAATCGTTTCTCACCATAACCCCACTAGTCTTATCCGAATTGCGACTCCTAGTCCCGAAAACGTGGTGTCTCGAGCCTTCAACGCTATAAACTCGACCACGGCTGCCAAAGAGGTCAATGCTACCCAGGTTTCAGTCCTCCATCTTACCTACAACGTTACATGTGGTTACTGTAAGGGCACGAAGCCCAACGGCCATAAGTGCCCGCATTGTGGTCACTAGAGGGAGTCAAGTACAAGTCATATTGTAGGCATGCGCCAGAATAAGCAGCCCCAATCATATTAGTCTGACTATTAAAACCCACAGCTTCAGGCAAACCATCCTATGTTCGTGACGGTACCTCACGGTTTCACTCTATGGAAGCCTGAAAGCACTTGCAACCCATCATTACGACAATTTCGGCTCGCTATTTTCATAATAATGGCGCAGTGCTATGAGAACATCTGATACTTCATTCTTTACGTATGGGATACTTGCTTTTGCCTCTTATCTAGTCCATCATCAACGTCACTCGCTCATTATCGCCAATGCGTCCGCTATCTGATTGATGCCAGAGAATGTGAGATGCCAACGAGGATCTGTTATATAGTACTTCGCGCGAGGCTCCGGCCACCCGTACAACGTTGTCTATGTTTGTCACAGGCTTGCTTCATACTGATGTTCACATCTCTATCAATCCAAGAAACGGGCGGCCCTAGACCAAGTTCACAGCCCAATTTGGCTGACGCAATGCGTGATATGTGAGGGAATCATGTGACCTGCCTGTTTAATGAATGTCTCACTTTATGAACATTATATACATAGCTTCAGCCAGAGTTCCATTTAGGGGTTCTCTTTTCTCCTTATGAACAATCGCTTTATCTAAGTCGCACTCGACCTTGTTCGTGCTCTTGTACCGTCAAGTCACATGAAGCCCGCTGCCCCAAGATTGTCAGAGCCGGAATGGCCACAGTTGCTAGCTGCTGCCAATTAAAAGCTGCACCGTAGGCAATAGGGCAGCGGGTAGGCGCTCTAGAAGTAGATGACGAAGAGCCGCAGTCCGGTCTTCCTGTAAGAGCATATCCAGTTCTGGTTCCGTCCGCTCACCTTCTTTTAAGGTGATGTTTTGGCCGTTGTCTGGATGCGTAACGTAAAGATTCCTGATCTTTGATAGGATTTGGTTGTCAGACTCCAGCGGATCGGCGGTCATTGTGACGAGGCGCGGTAGTACAGGTGTTTCGATAACGGATACGTCGTTTGAGTGGTATATGAGAACGTGAACGTCTGTAGAAGTTTGCAAAGTATCTTGGGAATATTTTAGGTAATATAATATAATGTAATTTATTTACGCCCGGAGAGATTACCCTTAAAGGGCTTTAATATTATATATTTTATAAATAATAATATTTTTTTACTTATTTAAAGACTTATAATATATTCTTTTTTTATACTTATAAGCCTTATTTTTATAAATTAATTATTTTATAAAAAAGCTATTCTTTTTAAGTATTTAATATTTTATTCTTAATAATTAAAGCTTAGTCTACTAATATAAAATTATATAATTAGGATTTTATATTAAAGTTAATAGTTATTTAATTTATTTTATTATTTTACTTATTTATATCTAATTTACTTATAATTATTATAAATTTAATTCTTATTTAAATTATTATTATATTAAGTTCTTAACCCTCCTTGTCTAATATAAATTTACCTCCCAGGAAAAAAAACAAATTCCCTATCTTGGCACGGTTACATCGCACTATACCCTCCCTTTCCGACCTCCACAATTTGCATCGAAAGAGAAAGTGCTGAGTGGTGTTACCATCCTCCCACAACTACTAAGGCTACTCTCAGTTTCTGCAGACAAGAGCGCGACAGTAAGAAAGTCAACTGCTATATAAGACAGCCGCGGAAAGCGCGCAGCACCGATATCCCTCCACCATGCAATAAGACTAGTCTCGTACACGATGTTATCCAATGGCGGCTCTAACAAAAATTAACAACCCATAATACGGAGTACGGACACAGCTAATGGGAATTGTTACACCAGCATAACACTTTGAGCATACCGGCATGACTTTTCTGCCACCTCCACTACACGTACCTGGCTCTCTGTCAGAAATGCAGGACGCAACCATAGCTTATCTCTACCCTTAGCAGTAGTCCCCATTCTTTAACAAATTTTTAACAAATTTGGAATAAACACACGCAAGATAAAAAACAGTTACTGGCTACTAGTGTAAGCCTGTGATTTGGATCGCGGGCTTCTTAGTAATGGGATATCCATAACGTACACAACCGTGGGCGACCAGGCGACTTGCCCAGTACACGAAGGCGTTTGGTATCGCTCATTCTTCTAACATTCCCGGAGTCACTGGGATTTTGTCTTGTTCTCATATTTCACATATTTAAAAAGCGTTTCCAGGCCACTAGAGATGTATTCGGGAGCGAGCCCCGTTGTGATGCCGTTTGAACTGCGTGAAAAATAGGCAAGGTTCCAATCCCAAACGACGTCTTCAAATGAATCAATGCCAGAGCGGGCCTTGGGACGATAAGCATGTAGTTGTTCACCAGACCACAAAGAGAGCCAACCGCTTACAAGGAGACCTGCCCTGCCACCGAGACAAAAGGCGTCCTGTCACACTCCAAGACAACCCACTGGCATCCTTTATTGCGACAACAGAGGCGAAGTGTCCTGTTCGCCTTGCCAAATTTGTGTCGGGGCGGGTATCCTGTGACAGATTCCTGTCGGTCGTTCTCTACCCTACCTTAAAAGCCACCAGGGCAGGGTGCACAATGAGGCTGCGTCTTCCAGGCCGCTCGATTGACTTGCGTTACCGAGTAGTAGTGTAGGTTTGGCATGGCGAGTGTGTGCGGGACTTGCTTCCCCGTCAGATTTTTAAGGTTTATTAAGATTATTGGTCTATTAAGAAAAATGTACTTCTACAAAGGTGGTAGTCATCTCTTTCCTCTCTCCCCTTCCGGCCGAACACATGTATCCCAGTCCATTCGTCACCGGTTGTGTTGGGCCGCATTGATGCCTACGTATAGCCTCTGCAGGTAACTAGTCAGAGATGTCCTTTGTACTTAAGTAAATCTTGGATAAATTCTGCACACTTTGCAGAAAAGTAAATGCCGTGTCTCAAGTCACTTCAGCAGCCATCCAATGATTGCACAGAGGCTGAGCCAACTTTACTGATGGGGTGGAATTCATGCAGCAACATGGCAACAGATACTACGGGGTGTTTTGTTGACATCAGGCTATGCGCTGCTACGTGTTGGTTAAGCCACTGCTGTCGATCCTCCCCGCAGTAGAAGAGGTATCAATTAGGCCCTTTGAGCATGCATGCATCGTGATTGAGTCTTTGTTCGCTGTCTCAGGTGATGGACGATCGTGTGTGTGGGTGAATTCGAGAGACGGTTCTTGCAGGCAACAATGAAAAATCCCCAGATTTAGAACTTGTTCCCGTCGAGGGGAAATAAAGAAGTTCTTTTTTGTTGTCTTTAATATGCGGGTTTACAATAAGTCTATTCGTTACTGCAGACAGTTAGCCTCGAGATGAAAACGGGCCACGCACACTGCGTCCGCTACTGGTAAATACAGATATAGTCTAGTCAATTGCTACATATTTTCCACGAGGGCAATTAGGGCAGCCCATGAGTAAAATACAGAATTCTAGCTCTATGCTATTTCTGAGATTGGTGCTGTAGTTACCGTAACTTCTTCCGCACCATCGAGGAATCCAGGCGGCAGGAATGGCGAGACTCCCTCTAGGCTAGGCGATAAGATTGGCGGCACGTTTCCGCCTGTAAATGGCGGCTGTCCTCCACCCGGGCTAGTCGGCAGAGTTGGCGGTGGCGGATAAATAGGCGGCGAGCCAGGCCCTAGAAATGGCGGCTGTCCTCCACCCGGGCCAGTCGGTAGAGTTGGCGGTGGCGGATTAATAGGCGGCGAGCCAGGCCCTAGAAATGGCGGCCTGGGCTGTCCTCCCGGGCCAGTCGGTAGAGTTGGCGGTGGCGGCCTAGGCTGTCCTCCCGGGCCTTGAGGCGGTGTGTCACCAGAATCATCGACCTCACCGCCGCCGTCACCAGGCGACTGGGTACCTTGACCTTGAATAAAGTTAACTTTGTTACCCACTCTGGCGTAAACGCCAGGAACTCCCTGCCTGGCACAACCATAGCCATACGAAACTACACCAACAAGCGTATCGCCTTGAACAAGCGGGCCGCCACTGTCTCCATTGCAAGCATCCTTGGCCTGTGCTCCTGCGCAAACCACATTTTGGGTGATTGGCTGCGCCTGCGGTACCTGTTGTTGGATCATATTTTGGCACTGGGCGCGGCCTACTGTAGTAAGCGCGACTTCTTGCAAATCGTCGGGAGATTGACCGTCCTGTTCCAAGTTGCCCCTAAACTAAAGTCAGAATTTTGCTTAATAGAGCTGTAAATGAAATGTTTCCCAACTATACATACCAACCAGCTACCATTACTGGGGTGCCGTCTTCGAGGTCGGAGCCCTGCTGCGGAAGCTTGGCATATTTAATTGACTGGCTTTCTTGGATGTTTGGTGATATTTTCAAGGTGCAAACATCGTTATCAAGTGGTTCAGGGGTAAACTGAGGGTGTATACTTTGAGATACCACCCTAGAGATTTTGCCGCCACTTAAGCGATTCTATATAATATTTATTAGGGACAAGTTATCTTGTAAGAAAATACAGGACTAGAGTGTAGTTTCCAAGGAGTAATTATAATAAAGAAAAACTTACATATGATCCAGCGCGAACCACGGCATTTTGAGGCATGCCCTGACAACAATGAGCGGCTGTGAGAACGGTATTCTGATTTATAATCGTGCCGCCGCAAAAATTTGGAGCACCTTCTCTAGGCAATAAAGCAACAATGTAAGGATATTTACCCGGAGCGGCGGGTTGTCCATTCACAATTTTGACAGTAGGCCCTTCTCCTGATAGCGGCAGTGCAGTCGCCGTTTGCGCTGCCAGCATGGCAATGACGGCTGCAACAGCCATTTGGAGCACCATTTCAGAAATCAGGAAAAGAGGATTCAATGTTACTGGCGTACGATGAATAAATGACTGCTGTCTTTGGACCTCAAAAAACACGTTTGACAAGAGAGCTTGACCAAGCTTATATGTAAATTTACTGCAGTCAAGACAAATAACATGGCTGGGGACTATTAGCCTCCTTCCCTATCCAGAGTATATGCGCAGGAGGCTGTGTTGTGGATATAGAACCTTTGCGAAACGAACTTGATAACGGCATAAATTATGCTAGAGTCCAAACCGTGGGGCTGTCAATTATTACAAGGCAATCGATACACGGGCATGACTTTTACCACTTCTCATTGGCCGCATGGTTTCCTGTTAACATCAATTGATGCTTCGGATTCTGCCGTCTCCGCTGCAAGTACCTAGGCCATGCGCTGGCTGGCCTTGATCGTGACATCTCTGTAGATTCCGTTAAACCAACGGTGCTAACAATCAACCGTCTGCAGCGAGCCGGAATAAGTTATCTATTGCCACCTTGACCCGACGACAGGCAAATAGGCTTTCTCGAGTTTTTATAGCAGGAATAATAATACGTGTACACTACTGTTGCCGTAGTGGTTAAAGTACGCAAGTACATATTCGTAGGACCAGGAGTTAATGGGAATTCAATGTTGGCTCAGGATGATAGAGAGGGTGCAAGTTGTATTGCTTTGAAGTCTTAAATCAACCAGGGTCTATTGCGTAGTGTTATCTTGTAACTATGTCACCACATTTTACCCTATTTGGTCATGGTATTGGCTCACAATGCAAGACTGTGATCTCAACTGGAATGCGAATGTATGCCAGAGTGGGAGATCACGGTGTAAGTATCAATTGCTGTTAGTGCAGCCGGCTACACCGCCTTTGGGGGAAGTACCAGCGGGTCACGAAAGTTTAGGCGAATTAGAAGTAGTAAAAGTCAGACCAGTCCCGTGTAAGAGTCAGGCCCATGTCAACATTGAAAGGGCTCGGGGAATATTGATAAAACGCCGGCTGTATGAACTAGTAATGTAACACCACCATCTCCACTCTGCCCGGGACAATAAGTCGTAAGCCGCTTGTGCACAATAAAAAGTCGTTGTGTAGTATAGAGATAGCAGATGGGACGGTATTATTTGGACCGCCTACGTTTGCTGCCTTATTAGCTTTCCGCACAGCTCAAAAAACCCAGTTGTCTGTTCCCAATATTCTGTGCTTGGGATTTCATGGTCCATGGCTGTCGGCGTCGCATTTTTGCGGGGAGGATCAAAGGACGGAGCACGGAGCAGGTCCATACGAGTGTCATGGAAGCTTGTGTCTACGTACACGGTGTCGAGTGCGAATCGAGTCAGTCGTCTCTTATAGACTCCATGCAGGCTGAAACAGTTGATTTGTGTGTGTGACAAGGGCTCGGACAAAGGGCTTGAAGCAATAGCTCAATTCAGTAATAATCTCGTACGATGTTAAAGGCCTTGCTAGCCTTGTCCTGCAACATCGAACCCAAAATCTGAATATGGCGGTTCATAGTCCTAATAATAGGATAGTCGCCCATGAAAAAGCGCAGAAAAACAACGGCGACGGCCAAATATACAACCATAGCCATGATCCTATGCCTTTCGAACCAGTCGCCATTATTGGTATGGCGATGCGCCTCCCCGGGCGTGTAAGGAATGAAAATGACTTCTGGAACCTTCTTTCCCGCAAGAAAAGCGGGCTTTGTGAAGCCCCTAAAGACCGGTTAAATATTCACGGGTTTTACGATTCATTTGGTCACGTTGGAACCACTCCAATCAACCGGGGATACTTCCTGGAAGACGTGGATATCCAGCAGTTCGACACGACCGTTTTCCCAATACCCAGGGCGCAGCTGGAGCGTCTGGATCCTTCCCAACGGCAACTCCTCCAAGTAGCATATGAATGTTTCGAAAACGCTGGCATATCTTCGTGGCGTGGTAGCAGTGTTGGATGCTATGTGGGCGAATTTGGAGAGGACTGGGCTGATGTGAATGCCAAAGAGCCGCAGCACAAGGGTGGTTACCGCGCTACCGGGTTCGGGGATTTTGCCATGAGCAACAGAGTCTCGTATGAGTTTGACCTACGCGGCCCCAGCATGACGGTGAAGACGGCTTGTTCGTCATCGCTCGTTTGCCTTGATCTCGCATGTCTCGCAATCCGGAATGGCGAGTGCGATAGTGCGCTGGTGGGAGGCACTAGCTTGATGTTCTCGCCAACTACATGGATAGCCCTCAATGACATGGGACTACTCTCGCCGATGGGTCAGTGCCGGACGTTTGATGCTGAAGCAGACAGTTATGCTCGCGGCGAGGCTGTCAACATGATACTGGTTAAGAAACTCACCTACGCCTTGCGAGACAAAGACCCTATCCGGGCAGTTATTCGCGGGATTGGAGTGAACAGCGATGGCCGGACGCCTGGTATGCTTACCCCGAGTCCTCTTGCACAAGCGGCCTTGATACGTCGCATATACGCTGCCGCTGGCATTAAAGACTTGTCAGAAACGGCCATAGTTGAGTGCCATGGCACAGGTACCCCTGTTGGCGATCCGTTGGAGGCCCAAGCTGTGGCGGATTGCTTCGGCGATGACGGTATCGTTATTACGTCAGTTCGTCACAATTGTCCCCTGACCGAGGTAGTAAATTACACATACTAACATGCCACAGGTCAAACCCAATGTCGGTCATTCAGAAGGCGCTGCAGGATTGACGAGTTTGATCAAGAATGTTCTGGTTCTGGAGCATGGCACGATACTGCCGAACATCAACTTTGAAACGCCAAACCCAAAGAGTGAGTCATGGATGTGTGTATGCCTGGAACGAAAATGCTCATCCGCCTACAGTCCCTTTTGAGGAGCGCAAACTCCATGTTCCTACGGAGCTGGAGTCATGGCCTAAACGACGTGCGGAAAGAGTGAGTGTAAACTCATTCGGTACAGGGGGTGTTAATGCACATGTAAGTTCGCAGTAGCTCGTACCTTCATTGCAGTAACGGAGCAGGCACCATGCAGACTGTACAGATAGCTAAGACTGCACAGGTCATCATCGAATCGCCGAAGCAATTTGGCATCACATCGCAAGCATGTATTCAGCGTGAGTCGCGCTTCACATTCGACGGCTTTCTAGCCAGGCCATACACCACCTGCTATTTCCCAACTAATTGATGTCTCACCAGTCAACCATGGCTAATAATTTCCAAATAGATATGAGCAAAGGAACTGAAAGTGTAAAAAACTTCCATGGTGCTATTAAGAGCGGCACTGTTCCCTCCGTGGTACCTATTCCAAATAATAGTTTTACTACCAACGGTACTGATGGCAATGATTCGCCTACGAACAGCGCTCTTCCTAATGGTCCCATCACCAACCGTGCTCCTACAGCTGAGTCTCTTACTAACAGCGCTGTTACTAAGGGTGCTACAGCAAGGTCAGGCTGCGTGACCTCGCTTACACGCTGGCTAACAGGCGGGGACACCGTCCTCACCGAGCCTTCGCTGTGGCTGGCAGTGATGGCCCAAGTCTTAACATCTCTACGAAGCAAACCATCAAATATCAGTCTGGCTGCACCAAGGTAGTTTGGGTCTTCACGGGGCAGGGGGCTCAATGGCCTGGAATGGGCAGAGACCTGTTGGACACAAATTCTATATTCCGGGAAACGATCCGGAAGCTGGACGGGTTTTTACTGACGCTTCCTACACCGCCACCATGGAAGATTTAGCATGAGTTGCGCAAGGTGGCAGATGACAGCCAAGTCCACTGTGCCGAGCTTGGCCACCCCGTCTGCGTGGCTCTACAGATAGCCTTGGTCGACGTGCTTCGCTCGTGGGGAGTAATGCCAGACGTCGCCTTGGGGCATTCATCTGGTGAGATAGCTGCCGCGTACGCCAGCGGCGCCATCTCGGCAGAGGCTGCCATGGCTACTGCAACATTCCGCGGTTCCAGCAATGTATCGACGGACCAGAAAGGTTCCGTGGCTGCCACAGGACTCGGCCAGCGCGATGTATCGTCGTATCTAGTGCCTGGAGTGGCCATGGCATGTCATAAAAGCCAATCGAGCACCACTATATCCGGTGATACAGACGCCGTCAACGAGGTCGTCCAGAGACTCAAGGCTGAGCAACCCGGAGTGTTGGCCCGGTTGCTACGGGTGGACAATACATATCACTCTCATCACATGCTTCAGTACGGACAGTCTTATGAAGAGCAAATTATGCCATATGTCTGCAGTCGTGATCCCTTGGTGGCACAACATTCGTCTGTCACATGGGCACTCACCTCAGGGGTAAGCGTTGCCAGGAAAGCCTGATGCATCTCGCCGGTAAGCTCTACCAACAAGGCATCTCACTGGATTACTCGCTTCTCTGCCCACCCGGCGACTTCGTCAGAGATTTGCCCCCGTATAGTGGGAAGCAAAGCACGGCTCACTGAGCTGAGTCAAGAGTCTCCCGCGAGTGGAGGTTTCGAAAACATCCTCCGCATGAGCTTCTCGGGAATAGGATCGTCGAGACGGCAGCCAACGAACCTGTTTGGAGGAATTCCCTCGCCCTTGAAGATGTACCCTGGTTGGCCGGACACGAGGTCAATGGACAGATTGTGCTTCCTGCCGCCGGGTACATCGCCATGGTCGGAGAGGCTCTTCTGCAACTTCACGAGGTAGTACATGAGAGCCATGAAACCACTTTCAGCATCAAAAACTTACACATCGCCTCGGCGAGGATACTCAAGATGAACAGTACCGTAGAGCTCATCACCAGTCTGAAGCCTATCATGATTGACGCGTCTGAGACCACCACATGGTATCAGTTTGCAATCAGTTCCTTTGATGGAACGAGGTGAATGAGGAACTCCTTCGGCGAGACAAGAGTCTTCAAAGACAAATCTTTTACACCTCCTTGTCAAGTGGGCCCTCAAAACGCTTCGTTCCCATGAATTGTAGATGACAAGGCCTGGTACATGGGTCTGCGACGCATCGGATTCAATTACACTGGGCTCTTCGAGGGCATGCAAGGCATCACAGCAGCGACAACAGCGACCAAAGCCAAAGCCACCGTGGATACGAGCATTCTACCCAGCGATTCAAAATGTTCCAGGTACGTGCTGCACCCGTCTGTCATCGACCAGTGCTTCCAGCTCTTCACCGTGGCATCATGTCGGGGCATACGCCGAAACATAAGCCAGGTTTCAGTACCGACCTTCATTGAGGAAATGGTCGTGTGTCCTTGTCCAATGAGCCAGACCCTGAGCGTCGTGGCCCATGTTGATAATGCACTGGAGCGAGGCTCCTTCACGGGTAACCTTGTGGCTCAGAGTGCCGAGGGTGACGAACGCCTGACCACTACGTGCATCAGCCTGAAAGGCCTCAAGACAAGCGCCCTTACCAGCAGAAGTGATAGGGATGCAGACGAGGAAGAGATGCCTCTAATCACGCAGCTCGAGTGGATGCCTCACAGCGACTTCGCAGATCTGGGGAGCCGTTTCCGTTGACCGGCACCGCGCGTAATGGAATGGCCACTGCTGGAGGAACTCACTCTCCTATGCATGCTCGACCACGATAAGGGCATCGAGACCAACGGAAAGACTGCGGAGAATCTCGTCAAATTCTCGGTTTGGATGCAACAGCAGATTGAGAACTATAAGCAGGGGACTAACAAGTTTGTAGACAAAAACAAGCGCTTGGAGGAGAAGAGCGCAGAACAAAGACTTGAGCGTATCAAAGAAATCATGGCCATACTCTCTTCATCGCCATATGCTATCTTGGCAAAGGCAGTTGATAAGCTCTTCTCGGTAGCACCAGCCATTTTCAGCGGCGAGACACACCCTTTGCACATTCTCATGGAGGACAACGTGCTCGCCGAATTCTACGACGCAATCTCAATGGACTCGGCAGATCTTCTCAAGCTCTGTGCCAACACAAACCCGCACATGCGTATCCTCGAGGTCGGCGCCGGCACAGGAGGAACAACAGCTCGTGTTCTGCGTGCACTTACGTCTTCGTACGGAGAATGCCTCTATCGTGTCTACACGTACATCGACGTATCAGCCGGGTTTATACCTGCTGCTAAGCAAAGATTTGCTAGCCATGAGAAAATTGAGTATGCCGTGTTGGATGTTGCAGCAGACCCAGCTCAGCAAGGCTTCCAGCCGGGCAGCTACGATTTGATTATCGCCGCGAACGTAGGCTCATATTATTTTCACCCCCTCGCCAGATGCCCATGTTTGCAACCCTGCTGACTTTGTAACTTCATTAGGTTATCCATGCCACCACATACTTGAATGAGGCTCTCGAAAACATGCGTAACCTTCTCAGGCCGGGGGGGGGGGGGGGGGGGGCGGCTATTCTTAGAAGAACTCTGTCCTGGTGAGTGTACCCTGTTGCGACAACATCCCCCTTAATACCAAGGACCACCGACAACTGGCGGCAACACAGCACGGAATGCTGATACCTCCTTACTCACTTCAGATGTAATGGTCTTTAATTATGTCATGGTGAGCATACTACATATTCGTCTGTTGCACTTACAGAACATGAATGGTAATCTCAATCTTGTTCAGGGATTCCTCCATGGCTGGTGGCTCGGGGCCCAAGACAACCGCGTGGATCAGCCGTACGTTTCGCCGGAAAGGTGGACCAAGGAGTTGCTTCATGCCGGCTTTTCGAAGCCTGAAGTTATCGTCCTTGATGATTCAGCGCCATATCATGTCAACACTGGCATTTTAGTCAGCCGTGAGAGTCGACACGCTAGTCTATTGGCAGTCAGCGTACTGTGCTACTCTCCTAATAGTCTATACGTTTCTGAGATGCATCAATGCCTAGAGTCTCTCGATGTAGCTGTCAATATCTGTCATTTCAGACAAGAGTTACCCGCTCACAACGATATTATTTCACTATTAGACCTCGAGGTACCTGTACTCCACGAAATGACGGAGGAGACTTTCGACACTATCAAGGAGTATTTGTCCTCGCACAAGGCCAAGATTCTCGGGGTGACACCCGCTTCGCAGGTGGGCGACGTAAAAGATCCACGGGCAGCTATGGTACTTGGTCTCGCCAGGACTGTACGGAACGAGCGATCCCTCCCATTCTTTACAATCGAAGTGGACGAGACAACGACATCGGGCCGTGGCCGCAGCTAGCGCCGTAGGCAGGATCCTACAGCACGCCGGGTCAGAGCAGCTGAACAATCGTGAATCCATTGACCCCGACTACGAGTATGCCATCATCAAGGGGGAGGTTCTTGTCCCACGACTGCACCGGCAAACGATTTCCGAGGCATTTTAATCGACTCAGTGGGGGGATGACTGCGAAACTTACGATTTGACGACTGACAGGCACATCACCATGAAGATGCTGGGCCTGCTACATACGATGACTTGGAGCAAAGGTGGAAGCAGCCGTTCCCCGCCGAGGGTGACATTGTTGTTGAGACTCGGGCTGTCGGACTAAACTTCCGGGTATGTATTGTCGATTCCCGGGCTCTTGTCCAACGAGCATTTGCGAATTTAGCTTTTCCAGACACGAATCCCAATCTCAGTCACAAGCCGCATCAAAGTTCTGACTCGGACGGTGCTAGGACTTTCTTATTGCCTTGGGTATCATTGGAAACAGCCCCAGCGAGATGGGATTCGAGGGAAGCGGCGTTGTCCGAGCTGTAGGGCCTGGGGTCTTTCGCTTCTCCGTCGGCGGTGATGTCATGTATCTCGGAAGCGGGTGCTTCAAGACAATCCACACAGTGAATGCGGCGTTGTGCGTTAAAATGGACGACTCGATGTCTTTCGAGCAAGGCGCAGCATTGCCGTGCGTCTACACCACAGCTCTCATGGCGCTGGTGGACAAGGCCGATTTGAAATGTGGCCAGGTGTGTAATAAGCCCATGATTTGAACCTAGGTATTGGTTGACTCTGGATACTTACAAGATGCTGTGCCGCAGTCTGTCCTCATTCATGCAGCCTGTGGGGGAGTCGGCCTCGCGGCGATACAGATTGCGAAGATGCTTGGTGCTCAGGTGAGTCGCAATGGGTACACAAGGACATGACTAGACGTAGACAATACATTATATCTGGTGCGTACTGACACCGGCACAGATATACTGCACCGTGGGGAGCGATGTGAAGCGCAACCATCTCGCAGCAAACTATGGGATTCCACCCTCGCACATATTCAACTCGCGGGACTCATCCTTCCTTCCTAATGTCTTGCGTGCCACAGATGGCAGGGGAGTAGACGTCGTACTTAATTCGCTGTCTGGAGACCTGCTTCAAGCGTCGTGGCAGTGCGTTGCTGAGTTCGGCATCATGGTGGAAATCGGCAAGCGAGACTTCCAACGGCGAGCTATGCTGGCCATGGCACCTTTCGAGGCCAACCGCACCTTTACCGGTCTTGAGCTACGCCTGGTCTTGCAGGCACGTCCACACAAGGCCGCCGCTCTCTTGGAGCGCTGTGTAGGATGGATACGTGAGGGACGTATCCGAGGTCCGACCGTCTCCAACACTTTCGAGGCAGTCCAGGTCCAGGACGCCTTGCGGATGATGCAGACGGCTAGGCACATTGGCAAGATGGTCGTCAGGATGCCCCGTGATGCTCGGGAGCTGGATCGGCCGACGATGCCAACGCCATCATTCCAGTTTCGGTCGGACCGCACCTATCTGCTGGTAGGAGGTCTTGGTGGACTTGGGCGAGCGCTCGCCACCTGGATGGTAGAGAAGGGCGCGCGATCCCTCGTATTCCTCTCGAGATCTTGTCAAAAGGGGCCCCAAACTGATGGCTTCGTCAAAGAGTTGCACTCGCAGGGCTGTCAAGTGTTGCTGGTTAAAGGCAGTGTCAGCAACAAGGCCGACGTCCAAAGAGCTGTGGATAACGAGGTGACTGCTTCTAGAGCCCTCGCAGGCGTAATCAACCTGGCCATGGTCCTGAGGGACGTGGCGTTTGCCGACATGTCCTTCGCCGACTGGAACACAGCAGTCGAGCCCAGGGTCCGCGGCACGTGGCACTTGCATGAAGCCATCTCAGACATCAACGAGTTGGAATTCTTCGTCCTCTTGTCGTCTTGCAGTGGAATTGTCGGCCAGTGGGGCCAGGCCAACTACGCAGCAGCCAACACTTTTCTGGATGCCTTTGTGCATTTCCGCCATGGCCAAGGGCTCGTGGCCTCCGTCATCGATCTCGGCGTCATGGGCGATGTGGGCTTTGCGTCGCAGAACCACGACCTTCTCGAAAACCTCGGCCGGATGGGCATGCGCATCCTACGGGAGCAGAACCTGCTCGACGCACTCGTTTTGGCTCTGAGGGCATCTCAGCCGACTCAAGTGGCAACCGGGCAGCTGGGCTCGCAGCCTGGCGATGCATGTATGACATACCGGAGCCCCGGCCAAGTGCTCTTGGGGCTGAACACCACCGTCCCCATCTCATCGCCGCTCAGCCGCGTGCCTTGGCGGCGCGACGCGCGTATGAGCATTTACCACAACCTGGAGGTCTTATCCAACACTGGTGGGAAACAGACATGTCCTCTGCGCGACTCTCTGCGAGCCACTCTGGCGCCTTTGACGAATAACGCGGACCGAACCGCCACTATAGCTTGTGCGCTGACTGCTGCCTTGGCCAATTTTCTCATCAAGGATGAGAACGATATCCCGCTGGACCGACCGCTGGAGAATCTTGGAATTGACTCACTAGTCGCCATGGAAGTGCGTAACTGGATTCGCCAGCAGATCGGCGTGGAATTAAGCACCATTTCCATTGTACAGAGCCCATTACTATTCCACCTAGCCGAGGATATTAGATTGCGTATGGGGAAAACTTCATGATTAGACTGGCCAGAGAATTTATGCTTCCCACTTTCCGTAATGTCGCCCCTGCAAATACGTGCCTACATTCCCCCTTTATGCTCTTTTGGGTTTGCTTCAAGTGTCTAGGATTCCCTAACCTATAAGTTTGCTAGTAGTTAGCCCTAGGCTACCAACCCGAATAAGTAGGCAGACTCTCTTTTTCCACAAGACTTCAAATGTTCTCACTTATTGCTTTTGGGGATAGCCAGATCCTAGCGTAGCAACTAGTATGTGCTTGTAACAGTAGCCTGTATTGGGAGCTGTGTATTGGCAATGCTACCCAGGGTATCCCTAGATGCATGAAAAGTTATCAAGGCTCCTTTTATTCCTCAAGACACATGCTATAGCGTATCCCGAGGGCATTATCTGTGCTGGCCAGCTTCTATAGCTATCCGTCAAGTCTGTCTTGGCGCCTTCTAATATCAGAGACTAATCACGAACATCAAGGGGCTAACGCAGGGGCCACGCGGGACCCACGCGGAGCTCCTGGCCAGGCTCGACCTGTGCCCTAGCTATGCCCTCTGGATATATCTGGTATAAAAGGGAGACTCTAAGCCTGTAAGAGCTAGGGGGTTCCCAGCTATGCCAGAGATTCAATGTGAATACAGTCACGATAATATTAACCAGTTGACACCTAATTTATTATTAATAGCTATCTCGCAGCGAGGATTCCTGCCACATCTCCCTAGTTACTCTGCCATCACAACCACACCCTGATATATTGACGGCAACAAGTCACGCATTTGCCGCCAACGGTTTTTTCCCCACATGTCAACTGCAACTTTCCTCAAGTGCTCGGTCCTCTTTATCACGCAGAGCCTAGTGCTGACAGACACCTCGCCTAGAGTCTTCCAGTACCCGCCTAACCAACTTTAATACTAATTTGGATCCGATTAGATAGTCGCTTAGACCCCGAAACACCCAGGTGCCATGTGAGCCCCGCTGCGGCAGCCAACAATCCAGCACGGACCTGCGGGGTGTTTCAGGTACTGACTGGTTCTTGTTATTAAATAGAGTTAATAACCTAATAGTCGTGTGTTTAAACAGGTAAATAGGCTTGAAAGATAATAAAACAGGTTTTTTTCCTACCTTGCAGACGCACTTAGCTTTTAATAGCGTCTGGTAGAGCTAGCTCTAAAAGTTGTTCATTTTTATATCAACATGTCGTAACAACTCTTGCCGTGAACGCTTGAGCTCTGCTCTAGAATTCGTATATATCTCTACCTACCCCGATAGTCTCGACCTTTCTAATTTCTATTTAATATCTTTTTGTGTGTCATTCTCATTATCCTGCATTCTTTTTTATTGTGATTCGAAGATCAGTCAAAGCCGTCTTATTGGGTGTCAAACGTTTCAACTCTATTATTTTCTGGCATCAACTTTGCAACTTCGGCTCCACCCGCATCAGGCCCTACAGATTATCGCATATTAGCCATGTTGGTAAAGGCAGTAACTATCGTCACCGCCTACATTCTCGGCGCTACTGCATTTGCACCTTCCCGGTTTGACCGGCGATCGTCCTCACCATGCTCAGGCAACACCCCTGCAGATCGGTCGGCATGGTGCTCTCACTCCATAAAGACGGATTATACTCGTGAGGTTCCGGATACGGGTGTAACCAGGGAGTATTGGCTGGATATCGTGGATATCATCGCTGCGCCGGACGGAGTGTCGAGGCCAGCCATGGGTACTTCGCCTCGACTTGAGCTAGTTGTGATTTTTCGCTGACGTCTTGTTAGCTGCAAATGGTACTATCCCTGGGCCTACTCTTTTCGCAGATTGGGGCGACACCGTCATTGTTCATGTAAAGAACTCTCTTCATACCTCCAAGAATGGCACAAGCATACACTTCCACGGTATACGTCAACTATTTAACAACCAAAACGACGGAGTAGTTTCTATGACACAGTGTCCTACACCAGTCAACGACACTATAACCTACACTTGGAGGGCGATGCAGTATGGGTCTACTTGGTACCATTCACATTTCGGGCTACAAGCGTGGGAAGGAGTATTTGGCGGCATCGTTATTAATGGTCCTGCAACAGCAAATTATGACGAGGACTTGGGCCCGCTCTTCCTGAACGACTGGGATCATGCCACCGCAAACCAGCGTTCTACTGTTCACAGGACCGACTTTCTCACCCCGCCGCTAGGGACGGGCTTGATTAACGGCACCAACACATATGGTAATACTGGCCAGCGCCTCAACATCCGCTTCGAAGCGAAAAAGACGTACCGCCTGCGGTTAGTCAACGCTGCCATTATCTCACATTTCAAGTTCATGATAGACAACCATGATATGACAATTATAGCTCACGATCTTGTTCCCGTGAAGCCTTATACTGTCAAAATCCTAGACATAACCATGGGTCAACGATATGATATCTTGGTCACCGCCAATCAAGCTGCTACGGCACGGCAGTTTTGGATGCGGTCTATACCTCTCGGGTTATGTGGCGATCCAAACTGGAAGTTTAATGACATTCGGGCTATTGTGCATTATGACGACAACTGGACGCAACCATCCACCTTACCCTATTTGTATTCTCAACTATGCGGCGACCAAACTATGAATGCTGTGCCGTACATTGCAGAAAACGTGCAGCAACCAGATGTGAGCGTCTCTGAGACTACAAGCTTTGATAAAATAGATGGAATTTGGTACTGGACCTTAAAGGACGCCCCAATGCTGATCGATTAGCATGATCCAACACTGAGCAAGATACTGCGCCACGAAACTACTTTTCAGAAAAACGACTCGGTTATCGAGCTGCCCGAGGCTAACAAGACGTTTTACTTGGTTATCAAGAACCCTTTGTTTGTAGCTCATCCTATCCATTTACATGGGCACGACTTCTTTGTGCTTGGTCAAGGTGTTGGGCCCTACTTGCCCGGTATTTCGCCTCTAAAAACCAAGAACCCCCCGAGGCGAGACACTGCTCTCCTTCCCGGATCGGGCTACCTTGTTATTGGTTTTGTTACAGATAATCCCGGTGTATGGCTCATGCATTGTCATATCGGATACCACGTCGACATGGGATTTTCACTTCAGATTATTGAGCGTGCTAATGAAATACCTGCTATTATCAATCAAGACGAGCTCAATGCAGGTTGTGCCGCTTGGTCATCGTTCCAGCAAAGTAATAATATAATTCAAGACGATTCTGGTGTTTAACAAGTCGCTAGTTGAATATTTTATAGCTACTTTATAAACCTAAAAATGTATTTTTATTGGAAAGAACCGATCCACCTGGAAGCCCCCTTTTCCAATACAGAAAGACCAAGATTTTCTAACAATAGGAGGAAATTCTGTTCTTGCCATCAGAGCCGCTCGAGAGTTGGCTTCCTCGATTGGGCGTCACATCCCAATTGTGACAAGGGCTATAATTATAGGACTTAGAACAATGTTCGATATTCAGCTGATACTTTGCTTTAATATTAAAGGTCCTTAGTTTTCCTCAAGGCCTTAAGGGGCAGATAACCCTTATTTATATTAAGAGGCGGTCAAAGGGCTGTCTTAGGTGCCTGAGGCCCCCGTTAGGTCTCGAGCCCTCGTGTAACTATCGTCATGTTCAAGGTACGGCCTGTGCCTTTATGGCAACGTAACATCCGTGTAACAACCAATGGCGTTTCTCTTACGAACAACCATCCTTGAGGAGCCAGCTCTCGCTATCGACCAGTATAGCACACCCTCTTCCTCTACAGCCCGAGATCTTGAAACGGAGTAATTTTCTGCATATCTATCCTCGTCAGGACTGCATACTCTTCCAGATAATGTATTATCCAACTCGCCTCACGTATTATACATGGAAGAGGAGCTAGTTTACTCCCACGACGTATCAGACACCGAGCAACCATTCAATACCATTATCCAATTTGTTCTTAACGGCATACTTAATATTAAGGCTCTTATTTAATCCTTTACAGCTATACAACTAAATAACCCTATCTCACAGTCTCGATATACTATCGATTCGCAGGGCCGTCCTTGCCGTGTAACTAGTGATAACGTCGCAGATGCGCGATATCTTGTTGGCGACGAATAGAATGATAACAAAATGCAAGCTTTGGCCGACACGCCGTTCGATCTGGCCAGACACCAGCTATTAAGGGTTGTTATTTGGGACAGGGGTAACAACAAAAAAGAGGAAGATGCTTTGCGGAATGTCGTAGAGGTTACAATCATCACCCATCACATCATAACTAATAAAGCTTCGTTTTCACTGATACTGGAGTCCCTGAGCCACCATTATCGGCGTGTACAAGCCCAGACATTACAAGACGGGGCTACAATCACACCATCGGGATCGAAGCAGAAGCCTGGGTCCCGGCAAATAAGCTATGCCGGCTGGTCTCATTAGCTTCATATCCATCAACAAACGCCGCGAGAGCAGATGCAGCTGCAAGAAAAGATGGCCTTCTGGAGGCAAAGTCTTGGGAGCATGAGGTAGATTCGCATACTCTCAACCGTTCATCGTCATGATCATCTTGATTTTTGTAATGAGACGGCTACAAATCCCGGCGCTTGCCAGCAAGTCTCCATCCCGTGCCCTGATAAATGCGCAGACGCGCCTTATTCGCAGCGCCTCGCTGTCGCAGCTGCGGCCCTGCGCCGAAAAGGACGGGGCGCAGGTATAGGAAGCCCATGTCGTTATCTGCAGGCGGCACGAATTCGGCGTTGGCCACAGCAACCATTCGGACACATTCGGGACTGGAAAGCGCTCATCGGGGACTTCTGGAAGGAGCACCATGGCCGCCGAGTTGCGGAGCCGTGCAGCGTGCGCCTGGGGTCGGAATACGTGCATTGCATGTGCCTTGTTGTTGGTCCGGAACGCCTTCAGTCCCTCGTAGCATTGCTGTCCGTAGTTGAGGCCCGGAGCTAGCCCATGCACACTCATGTATGGGCCTTCAATGTTGGACTAGCTGCGGTTGACCCAGGTATGCGCCGATGTTGAATAGTGCACCTCGACGTGCCCGTTGGTCTCGGGCAGGTTTGCGAGGTTCACCGTCGACCAATCCAAGCTGGCTGGCTCAGGGGGGAATGCACCCATCTTCACGTCAGGGGTCGAACAAGTCCAGGGTTTGCAGCAGTGGAAGAGAAGACATGAAAGAAAGAAAGAAAGAAGAGATAAAAAGGTTCCTCCAGAGAGCCTTGAGTGAATGGAACTATACCAAGACATGGGTCTACAAAAAAAAAGCTGGCATACGCGAACACATGCCTGACATCTAAGGTAGCATCGGCGGCAAAGTTGTGTCGGTGATTATACCACCGGCCAAAGCCGTTAGTCCCCTGTTTTAAGGGTAAGAGAACCTCAAAGCAATTGTTATCCTGAACCATCCTAATTCTCGGCTATTATGCTCGCATTGAATCTGCAGTGAGGGCACAATGTCAGGTATCAGGGCCTCGATATGTGGCAAGTCGTTGCTTTTTACAATATATCAGCAACGGCTCCTAGTCTTGGGGTTGTATCAGATATGGTTACATGTTACAGCTTCGCCGAAGCGGCTATCGAAGCCCTAAAGCAGGGCCGTTTTCTCACAATCAATGCACTTGTTCCCCCACACCAATTATCCTGTCCTGGCATTTACGTCGCGCTCATGTGACGGCTCCTTGATAACCTCCATGAGCTGTTTTAATGATGAAGCCAACCGTTGCAACGTATTCTGGAGTGACTCAACATCCAGAAGTTGGTATGTCAGGTTCCCTCTGCTTGTATCAAGCGCTATTTCGTCCAGCCGAAACCGCAGGACTTTTATGACAGACTCACAAGTGGCAAGGATTCTCCGAGTCCATAAACGCTTCATGTGATAGCCGTCCTCGTTGGGCACTTTCCAGCTGCCAAAAAGGATTGCCGGCAGATTACACGGAGTCTCCCTGCTGACTACTTGTGTATTCGACCCGTACCCAGTTTAGCACTGTCTGCAGCGCATTCATGAGCATCAGCAGCACCTTGGTATCCAGCCGGCAGGAGTAGCACCCAAACACCTTGTGAGCGCAGCCTATGACCATGTCATCATGGGAGAGTGTAACATCCAGGCATATCATGTTCGGTTGTCGTTCCATGGTGTTTAAATCGCTGAGGTGGCTGGCCAGTCTCTTGAAGTAATCGAATGTGCAGTTCTGTCTATTCCGGCGTCCCTCCTCGGTGGCCTGTGATTTCTACTGAGAGCTAGACTTCGGCTCATGGCCAACTTCGGGTCGAGGATGGTCGGGATCGCCATATATAAGCTCAACACGCGGCAGCCTCTCGGTCCCAGTGTCTGCTATGGGCCGCTCCCAATCGACCTCGGTCGGATTTTCATAAGTGTCTGTTGGAAATTGCTCCTCGACAGACAAGACCGAGTTGTTTCCGTCCATGGCCGTGCCGACCCAATTGAGCTCAGGTGGCCGAGCATCTACATAATTTTGGCAACATGTATTAGCCAAGGGGCGGGACAAATTATGAGTTGAGACATGACCTCGCTACTCTAGGCCTCATTGTTGCTTGCTTGCCGCTTTTCAGACCCAAACCTTTCATAGCCGACTGGCTCGACGAGCTTGTCCGTGCCAAAGGAAGTTAGTAACGCGTATATACTTTTGGGGGAACCTAGGTAGGCAGGCAGCCATCTCGCCTGTGGTTTCAAGGACCATGCCTACTGAAGATGAAAAGCCAGATTGGAGAGTAACTGTTCCAGTAAAGGGCTCTGGTTGGGGGCTGAAGTCAAGGCACGGGTCTAGATCGATCCAGGCCGGGTGCTGTTGCAACTGGAGCTCACTGGGCTCGCTAGCGAACGTTGACGATGTTGAAATCGAGTTCGCCCAGGGTGCCACCGAACTGCACCGGCTGGCCAACTACATCGAGGTTGACAACGGGGTCTGGCACGCATATGAGGTTGCATACATAAGTAGCTTCTCGCTGCATGCCCTATAGTAGGGCTATTACCATGCACCAAGTAATACTTCTGGCAAATGGCACGTTATACTTCTACATTCCCAATGCAAGAGAAAACTTCGTATGATTGTCGCATGAAGACGCTATTGCAGAGGGGTCTAGCAGGGATAGTCAGTCTCGGCACCACGGCAAGTATCCCGCGCCCGTTGCAGTTGACCGGACCAGTTGACCCTTTCAAATTAGGAACAGTGGTAACTTGAAGACGTCGACGGTCCAGATCCAGCCGCCACTCTAACACCGCAAGTTGGCCAGGAATGAAAATTCAACAGCATATTGCATATAAAATAATGATGCCGCACATAATTTTGGTGGCATTCTCCGCGATGCAATCAATTCGTAGCTTTCCAGCACGCTTCTAGTTGGATAAGCCCCGTGCCCCTTACATTTTGATCGCGTTTTAACTGTAAAGGCGTGCGTATGACTACTCATCATGGTACCCGCACGACAATCAAGGAAACGAGGTTGTTTAAATTATACGAGCGATATTCTCTGTAGTCTCTGTGAGTGCTCATTGAGGTCATAAGTATGTATATTGCCAAGCGCCCCAGTATATTCCAGCAAGTATATCTGGGTCCAGGCTATCAGCTTCGCTCTCGACTTCAGACTCCGGCTTGCACTTGCTCTCCCGATGAATCAAAGCTCTTGTATCAAACCCTCTCCGTGTCAAAACCAGAATCTGGTTCTGGTCTATTACTGCAGTTATGGCGGCGTAGGTGCAGTTACCTGTCTTTCGTGGATGCCTGGGCCACCTTCCAGAACAATGTTACATTAATCTAGGACAACGTAAAGCCTGAATCTCGTCCGCTTCCTCGAGCCATTTCTGCAAATGTCTTGGTCCATTTGCCTCCGGAACATCCCAGTCTTTCCAGCCCATCTCTTCCAATGCCCGTATCAGCAATCCGGCTCACGCCATGACCCCCCATAACACCTCCTGCTGCCATCATACCTGCCACAAATCCCTCGCTCCATGTGTAGCTTCCGACGTAATTGATCCAATAAGTCCATATTTCGAAGTAATCCTGAACGGGCTTCAGATTCAGATACTGAGTCCCAGTCCAGAGAATACTATTTACACAAGGCAGACAAGGGAGCAAATTTTTACACTGGAGAGACCGCTTACAGCGCAACATGCAATCGGGACACCAAGGTGATGAAAGAAGTGGAGGTTTACATACAAGAGGCTAATGGATGATATATTTGAGACGTCTTTGGAGCTCTGGAAGCTGTCATTATCTACACGTTCTCTTTAAGCAATTAATTCTATTGCCCCAGAGCTGTGCAGCGTCCACTGCAACTATGACATTACTCACTCATGGCACGGAGTTGAGGTGAAAGGAAGGGGTATTGCAATGGTATTAGACTACACCTTGTTTAAAATTGAACTCTATAGTTCTCTATAACTCTAAGTAAGTAATACAAAGCCTCAGTGGTCAAGCTTACTATACTAGAGAGCAGCAAGAACAACTGGTGCCAGGCGACTGTTTGGGCAAACAGGTATTTGGCCCGGTGCAGACCACCTAGACCCTTTCAGCTCCAGGAATGAGAAATTATGGGGGAATTCTACCACCGCTGCTTGTAAGCATGGTTTCAAGTCATTCATCGACGCCATTTTGCATGTTTTCAACTGATGCTTCGGCCGTGCTCGCATCTTCTATACAGCCTTTGCAATCTTGTTCATCAAAGCCAGCGCCGCGGCCGCAAGCATCTTGTCTTCGTTTGTAGCATTCAGCGCTACTGTTTCGACCCTTGGTCCTGCAGAACCCAGAAACGGTCTTTGCTGCGGCAAACAAGCCACTGAACTACGCTTGGGCAGTAGGCCGGATTGAAAATAGGCCCTGTACGCCTTTACGGCGCAGAGACTCGGACTCGCAATAGTGGTATGTCCTTCTCCGTCAACAACAAGGACGTCACTGCCTCTGAAGTTTGCACTCATGCGCTTTGCAGACGCCAGCGGCGTAACGGGATCCAGAGTAGTGCTAGCAAATAAGACAGGATGGGCGGTAACGTTGGATGCGATCATGTGTGTGTCCCCGAATCTGAACTTTGGCTTGGCCATCCACGAGAAAATACTAATCCAAATTGTAGCCCAAACATCACCGCCGTACTTGCTCTGAGATCGCACCGCGTTATAATATTGCATAAACTCTGCCTTCGTGAGATGACGTTGAGCGTCACCGCCGGCAATGGCCGTTGCTATCTGGTATCCCATAGCCCAACTGTGAGTCTTCGAGGCCGGATCGTGCGGGTTGATGGCAAAGCCGGGAGAATGCTGACCCTGCGGGAAGATTGGTTTCGCAGCCCGCAGGGCAGCAGCATACGCGGATCCGTTGCCTGATGATAGTGGTGTCAAGGCAGTCGCCAAAGCAGGGAATGTAATTATGGGGAAGTAAAGTTTTTGCAGAAGCAGCTTCTTGATATCGCTCAAGGTAATAACCGATGGGCCATTGCCATCCGAGCCAGCGACCGCGAGTGGCCCAGCCGAGCTGACATTTGCCAGCAGCTTGTCAAGACGCCTTTGCGTACCAGTAGTTGAATTAGTCGCAAATGGACATTTCGTAGCTCCGGCTGCGGTACAGTACTCGAAAAAGCGATTCATAATCTCGTCAGCATCGACAACATCGGGCTGCCACTCGCCCCGGAAATAAGCATTTGCGTCCTTGACTCCGTCTAGGAGAAAACGCTTGACGCGATGTGGTTGCATGGCGGCAAGAGTTGCTCCCAGGACAGTGCCGTAAGATATGCCAAAATACTGAATGGGCTCTTCCCCTTTCTTCCACGCAAGCCTCTGACTTGCCGTAGATTCATTTGCTGCTTGTCTCTCTCTCCATTCTCCATGCCGCTCAACTATTTCTATCATGTCTCTCGCGACAATGGCAGTGGTCATAAAGTTGGCAATTTTGGCACTTTGTGGACAGCTCTCCCCTAAAGCAACGGAACGCTGCCACAAATATTCAATGTTTGTTTCTGGGGAGCCAAGGACGAGGTGGTCTCCTTGCAGTGACCAAGTGATTTGTTCGGCAGGATCAGAGTGGCAAGTCAGAAATGGTGTTGTGTTCCCTACTCCGCGAGGGTCAAAGCCAATAATGTCAAAATACTTGGCACTTGGTTCGTCAGATACATAGGACGGACTATTGTGAAGGTAGGCCGCATCGAAAACTGCCTGCATGTCCGCACCCGCAGCAATTACGGCTCCAACACCCGGTCCTCCCGGACCGCCAGGGTTGAACAAAATCGGGCCGCCGTAACGCGGATCAGTGACAGGAACCCGTGCTGGAGCCCGGACTATGGCAACCGCGACAGTGTCTTCGCCCGTGGTGCTGTTCCAATCCATGGGCACTTGCAAACGAGCGCACTGCAGTCCATTGAAGCAATCAACATATGACAGCGCGGTGGAAGGCGAGATCTAAGGAATCCAGTTAGTTTTCCGGCGGCAAGACGCTGGAAGATGAATGACCAGATGAGGATCTAGAGATGTGTGTTTCGTAAAACAATAGTCGCTCCCACATCTCCGAGTTCTGGATTTCAGGGAATGTACACACATTGGTCCAGTTAAAACTTGGAGCAACATCTCGAGAATGTGCCCGCGTTCTTTGAGGGGTTGGTGAACCGACTTGAAGCAAGCAAGTCAATGCCCATGCGGTTGCAAGGCGACTCCGAAGCATGGTTTCCAGAGCTCCGAAATCGATTTGGTTGTTCAAGTACGCCGAGAGAGAGAGGATTTTGTGGTAGCAATGTTGCCATGGAATCAACTCATAGGGTCTCACGCTTGTATTTAAACACCTTGGATCAGCCCAGAAGTAAATCACCGCTTGAAGCAACAACTACAAAATCTAGGCTCGGACTCGCGGTTGTGGGGGGAATCCGGGGCTGACGGGTTGCCACTCATGATCAACATGGGCAAACAACACCGCCTCATAGTTCTGCGTGTCAAATTACGACGCTCTCAGTTAGCTCATGCGAACAGCCCTTCCAATGGGGCGGCCACGCGTCGAGAAATCCAGGTTGTACAAATTGATGCCTATGTTGGGCGTGGCTCTGCAATGATGGGGAACTCGAGTTCAACACACAACCCTAACCCTCGAGCAACGCCTTGAGCCTCCCAGTTCTCCTTCACCTGTCTATCCAGCATGTCTGCGAATCAACTACATGTACCGACTCATATCGGCCGGGTACACAAACCCAATACGTACCGGCCTGAGTGGGCCGATCTGCCGGGGCTTGTTTATTTCCTAGCCCTATCTGACTCGTCTGCCTCGTAATGTCAGGCGATCGGGACGGGAGCCGCGGATCACCGTGCACAACAGAACTCAACTGATGTCATTTCTTGGGAAGGCTTTCGGTTGCCCCAAAGCTTCCTATGGTCAAGTTGATGGATGGGAGCTCAGGGGGCGGGAGCGTAACTACAATTCGCACCAGGAGATATAGTTATATTCCAGGCGTGACTCATGTCCAGCATGCGGTCAAACAATTAAACCGAGGCAACCCATATATCGGAGTAATCGTGGGTCTTGTTGTAGGTGTTACCCTACAGCTGGTAGTATCGGCATTCTTTCCGGTGTCTAACGGTTGATGATGGCTAAGATTAGACAAGGCGCTGCAAAGGCGATTTCGTATCATTTTTGTGTCATGGTCCGAAATATCGGGTCATTGTTCAATAAGAGTTCACAATGTGAAAAATAAAGTCCTCACCGGATCCGGCTTTTGTGAACGGCGCGGGTCACTCCGAGCTCACAACCTCTCCCCTGGGACAGCCGTCGGTTAGACTATCTAGTAACTTCATGCAGTCTGAAGAAAGCTACGAGGTGCTCCTCGTTGAAGCTTCTGCAATCGTTGATGGAGGCGGCAATAAGATGGGTGGAAAGGGGCTTGTGAGTAGATCATTGGTCCAGCGACGTGTTGATCGACAACACCGTCCACAAAACAGATTCACTCTATTGGCTCGTTCAGAGGTTCATTCAAGCCAAAATGCAACCAGACTCCAACTGGAGTAAATGGGATGCAATAGCGGGGTATTTGGAACCAGATCACCGTGTAGCTTATCGCCAATCATGCCTTATTTCGACGCTGGCGCCTTGACCGGAGATGGCCTAAACCCGGCACAATATATGCGATAGGCTGTTTCGTCAAGTCAACAACACACACAGCATCGAATAGACCACGATATACAGCTGACTTGTATGAACAGTTGATCTACATAGTTGGAGTCATGTCTGCCGTTATTTTGACTTTGGCTCCTACACTATACACCCTCTTTACTGCGGCAGCTTTGTCCTTTTTAGGAGCCACGATATATCGACTGTTCTCATTACAGGCAACTTATACAAGTTAAATATAAAGCTACTAATAAACTTTTTACAAAGCAAGTAGTAGCGAGAATAGAGATTACACTTGCGGGTAAGGGACTTAATATTATTTTAACAATATCAGGCAGCGCAATATCTCTGAAGGATGATAGCCAATACACGTCTAAAACGCAATAATTGTATCGGCATCAGCCCGTGACACATCTCATGTAGACTGGACCAACAGATAGTGTAGGGTCAATCGGGAGTAGTAAAAGTCATGCCTGTATAAGCCTTGACTTGGTGCAAGTGCCAATAAAATGCGGCACGAGTAGGCCCACTTGGTGCCATCTCACCTTAACTGCCTCTTCTAGTAATAGAATCTCGGCAACGGCTTCAAGCGGGTTTTGCTATTCGTGCAGCTATAATAGCGCGCCCTTCTTACAGCATGCGACATCGGAAATAGTACCAAGGTCTACGGCATATGCCGGTTTGTGCCGTTGACTGGATTGTCCCGCTCCGGGCTGTATAGAGTAATCATTCTTAAAGCCGGTGGTCTGCCCCTCTTGACTCATTGTTACCGCCATCGGAGGTAAAGTAGAGCTGTATTACCAACCACCTTGCATATATATTGAGGTAGTCCCTATTAGAAAGAAGCCCAATTTTGCTACGCTTTTGGATTGTTCCCGCAGGTTTCCATATTTTTAAATTTTGGTCTCCATCACTTCTACCCTTTGTCTTGCATTTTGTTGCCCTAGTTCTCCCTCTAAATCATGGACGTTGCTGTGTTCGAATACAACGTCAATTTAAAGGCAGATGAAATAGTTGCGTCCCTTGTCCAAAATGGAGGATGTATTATTCGCAACATGATTTCCGACCGGCGCATTCTTGATACCATAGAGAGGGACGTTCGCCCTTATATTGAAGCAGATCGACCGTGGGTCGGAGTCGACTTCTTTCCACCTGAAACGCGCCGCGTCATGGGCCTGGTTGGTAAATCACAAGCCTTTACACAAAATATCCCCGCAAATCAATTGTATCGGGACGTTTGTTCACGCTTGCTTTCGTCCACGCACAAAGCATGGCTGGGCTACCAGCTTAACACGACGGTGTCTGAGCCACAACTCAGCAACACAATCGTTTTTTCCATAGGTCCTGGGGCGGCCCGTCAGGAGCTTCATCGGGATGATTCAATCCATCACAACTCCCTACCGGAATTAAAGCATCACAACGACTATCGAATTGGGCGAGATACCAGTGTTGGGCTATTTGTTGCAGGAAAGAAGACAACCAGAGCCAACGGCGCAACGAGGTTTATACCTGGCTCCCATCTGTGGGGTGAGGATAGATGTCCGAGCGAAGAGCTTGCTTACTATGCCGAGCTTGAGCCAGGAGACGCTTTTCTAATGCTGGCGTCATGTTACCACGGTGGGAGTGCAAATACAACAAAGAACGAAGAAAGGCTAGTGTATAGCTGTTTTATGACCAAGGGCTTTTTGCGTCAGGTTTGGCAAGCTGATCCCAAGACGTTATAAGTCAAATCTCTAACGCTGCTACAGGAGGAGAACCAGTACTTGGCAAACACTATCGGACAAGTACAACAGTATTCGCCTGACATCCAAAAGCTCATTGGGTATTCCGTTAGCAAGCCGTTTCTTGGATGGGTTAACCTTGAAGACCCTATCAAGTTGTTGCACCATGGTTCCGAAATTATAGGTGATGGGATGCGCTGAAGCTTGCTACCTAGTACATGTAACGCGTAAATTTAACCGCGTATAAAATCATATCAAGCAAAACAATACAATACCTCGTAAGATCTGTCTATTATTTAATACAGGGTTGAATACTTATTACACGATAGGAGTACCTGATAAATTATTAAATATATACAGGGAAATATTTTACTATGTTTTATCTGTATAACCACAAGCTATAATTCAAATTTAACGCCGCTTCACTCCTCGAATAGTGTACCCCCACCAATCTGCTAACCTAATATCCCAGGGACTACTCCTCTGATAACCGCCCATGGCGATCCCGTAATACCTGCAACGAGCAATCCAAGTTGCCCAATTCTTCTGTAATTTTACACAAACGATCTATTAAACCCTTTGCCATCTCCTTGGTCAGGATATGAGTATTGCCAAAGAGTTTAATATCAAGGTGGCGCCCTCTAGGGTAGGACACTATAAACAAGGACGGCGGCACTAGATGCGAGTTGTCAAAGAACTGCACTTGGGATGCGGCTCCTGCAGACTCAATTTCCGGATGCTCATCAATGTTTTGATGCTGGATCATTGATTCAAAGGTGGTGCCAGCAGGCCAATCCGTACAGTGCTCAATAATGTCTTTAAAGCCAAGCAAATCCGCCTCTCCGAAGAAGAACTGTTCCTGCACGGAGAGCAGTAGCTGCCTGGGAGTGTGTGCCGCGGGAAGATTAACGCGAATGGGAACAATGTTGAGGCACGTCCCGACCACCTCATCAATGCCAGACATCGCAGCGTTGCGCCCTGCAACGACGTGGCCAAAGACAACATCGTCTGCTCCGGTAATGTGCGATAGCAGCAGAGCCCATGCCGCGCTCAGTAGGGTTGCCGGGGTAGTCTTGTTAGGTAGCTGAGGCAAATCTATCTCTGCTTCTTCATAGACTCGCTGAGGCGACCCCGAGATGGCTTTGGGGCGGAGGATTGGTTCAGGAACGGTAAGAGACGATCCTGTCAGTACCTTGGTCCAGTATGTAATGGCCTTTGCTCGTTGCTGAGCTGCATAGGACAGGAACCTGCCGAAGGTAGGGCCAGCAGGGCGTTCAATTCCGCTGTATTCGTCCATGAGCGATTGCAAAATAATGGGAAAGGAAATTCCATCGTACTGAGCGTGCGAGAGCCGAAGAATTAGCCGCACGCCGTCGTTGTGTCGCAGAAGCGTAATCGAGATTGGAATATCGGTCGAGCTCATCTCGTGCAAGTCCTTGACACAGAACTGATGGGCAGCCTGGTTAACATCATCTACGTCCTCGATGTGAATTGGCAACCTGAGCTGTCGAAAAACAACTTGCCATAGCTTCCCTTCAAGATGGAGGAAGCGTGCACGGAGAATCGAGAACTTGTCCAAAGTCGCCCAGTAACTTGTTTGAATCTTTGATACATCCAAGTCATCGAGATCAATGTAAAAGTAGTTTGCGTGTTGTCCAACCGTCTCACCGTCAAGCACAATCTTTTCTTGGAAGCTCGTGAGAGGCAATACATCCTCAACGTCGTCAACAGAGACACCGAGGGCGGCAATCTCCTCGAGGACAGAGACTGGTGGCGGGCGGTCAACAAATACAATGTCCGTCTCCTCTTCCTCTGGGCTAAGGTGACAGGCCAGGTTTTCAAGCACGTCATGACGAAAAATATCCGCCACTGATAGTTTGAAACCCACCTTGCGAGCCTCTGAAACGATGCGCATGGCCGTGATCGAGTTGCCTCCGAGGTGGAAGAAACTGTCGTCCAACCCAATGGAATCTAAACTGATGTGGAGCACATGGGACCAGATTCTCTGCATCTCCCGCTCCATGTCTGTAGTTGGCTCTCGTATCGAGGCTCGGGCCGCTGTGCGTGTTTGAGTCCTGGCTGCAAGCGCCCGGCGGTCAACCTTGCCATTCTCGTTTATTGGTAGTTCATCAACGACGGTAATTGCATGGGGGACCATGTACGGAGGGAGCTGAGTCTGAAGTCTCTTGAAGAGGCCCTCTTGGACCGTCTGGTACAGCTGTAACCGTAGAGGCCGGCTGGCCAACAGATGTGAAGGGCGGTTATGGTCGGTAGGGAATCTGAATAAGACTCTATCCCCACGGGACGGTTGGTGACGGTGGAAGATGGCATCAAGACCACCGCGCTGTGAATACTGGCGGGCACAGCTAATTTCCACCTGGAAGCATGCCAAATTCGCCAACTCGACCAAGCCGGTCACAGACATTGAAGGGCAATGTTCAGCGTTGCGTAGGGCGGACGTGATCCAATCAGGGCCTTGCCCCCTGTCGAGTGCCTCGACAACATGCCTCTCAACGATTGTGTTCTGAAAAGGAATGTTGCTGACGGCCAGAGTGGACGATGTTTGACCCAAGAGATCCAAGAGCGATTGTCGGTTCAAGTTGTTCTTTTGAAAGTCGATCCACTCACTTTCAACTTCGTGAACATGTGGCTGCGAGTCGTGCTGGAGATGGACAACAGCAGAGTAGCGATAGCAGCTGAGTTCGTTCACAGCCTTCATCTGCTTTGGAAGAATTTCGACGTGGTGAATAAACTTGAACCGAGCTGCCAGAGCAGTAAAAAAGGCTGGATCGACCATCAGCTCCATGTCCGCTCGTTTTATATCCTCCATTTTGCGGCGAATTTCGTCCTTGCTTGCAGCTTCTCCAGCGATGCGCAATGCTCTGCTGGCTTGGAACTGTGTGTTCAAGGCATATGATCGGATGTCACCGAAGAAAAGGGTCTCAACGCCGCCTAGTTGAACGACATCTTCTATAACCTTGACAAGGTATTCCTGGCTGGGAAAATATTGAGCAACAGAATTGATGACCACAAGGTTGGGCAACATTGCGGGTAGCCGCTTGACGTCTGCTGCTGTTCCTTGGTATACGCAAACCTTGTCTCTGAGCATCGACATTGACTTGGCTGCCCTGACTGTAAACTCCACTGCCTTTTCAGAAGGTTCAAGGCCGACATAGTTTTGCACTCCCTTCAAGTTGAAGAGAATCATTCCGGTACCAGTTCCAATCTCGAGAACATTGCGTGGTTCGTAAGCATTGATGGTCGCCATGGTATCGTCGAGCCACTCATTCATCTCCTGTTTGTCAATATCTTGTCCAGTATACGTCGAAACCCATCCGGTGAAATCCCTTCCAATAGTCTCAGGCTTGACGTCTTGAATCGTACTGTAAGTGTCCGCATCGAAAAGCTCCCCCCACACATTGACAATATCGGTCACATCCTCTTCTTGTCCGGCATCTTCCGTTGCTTCATTGACGGTAACAAATGCGGCGAGCTGGGCCTCCTGACCTTCTTGCAAGACGACAATGGCGTCGTGAACAGAGTCGTGACTGCGTAGACAGTGCTCAATCTCTCCCAGCTCAACACGGTGGCCTCGAATCTTAATTTGGCCATCAATTCGCCCGAAAAACTCCAACTGTCCGTCTGTGCGGTAGCGTACATAGTCACCTGTTCGATAAGCTTTGACTCGTTTCTGACCAATCGTGACGGTAACAAAGCGGTCGACATCTCGGCCCGGATCCGTATATCCCCTTGCAAGACCGTCCCCAGTCACCACCAGCTCCCCGACCACCCCCAACGGTACAAGTTGCTGTTGTTGATCCATGACGTATGCACCGGAGTTGCTGATGGCCTGCCCTATAGGCACTCCATTAACACACCTCTCTCCATTCTGTAGGCAATACAGGGTGCTGATGACCGAGTTTTCAGTTGGGCCATAGGCATTAATAATATGGCCATTCATGAGACCTTGCGCCATGAATAGATCTTGCGAGTCAGCTCGGTCTCCTGCCACATAAAGTGCAGTGAGAGCACCGATGACTGGAGGGCATTGAATGAGGTACTGTTTCAAAAGGGCCGGCGTGAATATGGCCGCTTGAATCTTTTCTCTGGCGAATATCTCAGGCACGGCTCTAAAGTCCAATACATCCATGGCACTGATACAGACTACCATGCCACCGTTGAGAAGAGCACCATATATTTCCCATCCTGAGACATCAAAGGCGATATTTGTGATGTGAGCCATTGTTGGAGTAGACGGCAAGTAGCTCGCCATGTTGCTTCCCTTTACCAACCGCACTATACCACGGTGATTAATCATAACGCCCTTTGGGTTGCCTGTAGAGCCCGACGTGAACATGACATAGGCAAGGCTGGTGGCATTTGGAGCCGTGATGTGAATCTCAGATGTGGCCTCGTGGAGTGTCTCAGCGATCGGAACAAATGAAACGTCGAGACCCTCAGGAATCTGCACGTTATTTCCAACCAGGACGAGCGTCTGCCCATCCACAGAGCCTAGGATCTTCTCCATTCGTGCTCGCGGGGTGTGGACATCGAAAGGCAGATACGCCAGGTTGGCCTTCAAGATGCCCAATAGTGCAACTACGGTGCGACAGCATCGGCTGGAAAACACCCCGATGAGGGTCCCCGGAGCAAGGCAGCGTTTGGCTAACCACCTGGCAGTTGAATTGGACTGCTGGTCTAGCTCGGCATATGTGAGCTGAGAGGATGAATCCTTGACAGCAACCTTGTCAGGATTGAGCAGAGCCTGCTGACGGAAGAGATCAACGATGCTGGCGTCGGGGCAATCCACTCGATCAATCTCGACAAGACCCATTTGATCGAGCTTGGCGTAGTCAGCATCCGAGAGCAGCGACATTGACGTTATTGCCGCGTTCGGATCTCCAAGGCCGGCCTCGAGAACTCTCTTGAAGACCGACAGCATGTTGCGAATTGTCTGGGCATCAAATAGGTCTGTAGAGTAAAGGACCTCGCCTTGGAAGGCCTCCTGTTCCTGGAAGAAATGGAACTCGAGATCGAATCTAGTGGTAGGCGGTACCTTGACCATTTCGGTGTCCAAACCCTCAAGCACAAACTCGCCGAGGTCCATCTGAGAATGCAGAGCAAAGACAAGCTGCGCAAGCGGGTGACGCGACAAGTCCCTGCCTCTGTTTAGCTGAGAAACAATATTTTCGAAAGGGACG